ATTTTATTATATACAAATAAAATTATATATATTTAAATTTAATTAAAGTATTGTGATTCATTAAAACTAAGTATTTTATAGTTTCAACCACAAACAATTAAATTAAGAAAAAAATCATAAAGTTGTAAATAATAATAAGTTGATTAACAATAACAATATTAAATGTAAAATATTTAAATTTCTTGAAAAATAAAGTTTTAATTTTATAATCATTTTGAAACATTATCAAGTAGTTTAAGCCATTTTTTTAATGATGAAATTGCTCTTCCAAGAACATCTTTCACTAAGTTATTATGTTTATATCCTAGTATCACATTTTTTTAATATTTTTAGTTGCATTATCATTTCATTCATGATACTTGGATAATTGTTAATACCAAAAAAAAAAAAGATACTTGGATAATTAGATTAAACTCATCATAATTTTTTTGTCTTTCTCTAGAAATTAGGGAGTGTGAATTCATAAAAGGAGTTAACAATATGAAAATTAATTAAGAATAATAAGTATAATATTTAAAAAAAATAATAAAAAATAAAACAAACGGGTCAACCTGTCAATCCACGTGTTAACCCTAATCCGATCCGTGACCCGCACAGGTTAATAATACGTGTTATTTACGGGTTGTGAGTTGGAATATGTAAACCCTAACCCATTTTTACAAATCGGGTTGATGGGTCGAGTGTATTTTTGCCAAGTCTATCTTTCGGTCAACATTAAACAATTTTTAGTAGTGCTTTACTTAAAATGAATAAAATTTTCTTAGATTTGTATTATTTTTATATTTCCTCCACATTTTTCTTTCTTCAAGAAAAAAAAAAAACATAAGAAGGAAATATTGGGAACTGAATACATTAGTCATTGTAAAAGGAATGTCATTGAAGAAATCTTCCAAAACATAATTGAAGTGGGACAGTATGCTTTGACAACCACTTCGTCTCTGAACATTCCTCTTTTCTCATTCAAAATTTAATTGTATTTACAATGAAATTTCGTGGACTGGAAACATCCTATTGTCATTGGTCATTGTCCAAAAAATGGGGTAACATTTAAGACAAGGATAAGGTAACATTTTGTATTGAAATTGATAAACAAGATAAGTAGTAAAATCTTTTTATCAAATAAATTCTAACTATCTTAGTTTTGCTAATCAATCAATCAATAAGTTTTTACATTTTATCATAATAAATCAAAATCAATAGTTGAATGAGGTAACAGTTTGTTATTATTATTATTATTATATTATTATTATTATTTAGTATTTGTAA